TGTGGCCCATAAGCTGATAAACAATCAGAAATGTTACCATTTACAAATTTCGTATATTTATATATATTCATATGCATATATCAGAACATATACATATTATGTTAAAGAAAAGTAAGTTAATGCTACAAGATGTCAGATATTTTCAGTTTAATGTACTTGCTACGAGTTTGTTCCCAGCTAATTTGGTGTTTAATATTTTTGCCACCTGTTTATTCACAGCTAATCTGGCGTTTAATGTACTTGATACCAGTTTATTTCCTGCTATCTGGTGTTTAATGTGCTTGTTATCAGTTTGCTTCTAGCTAATATGGTGTTTAATGTACTTGTTATTAGTTTGTTTCCAGCTAATTTGGTGTTTAATATTTTTGCCACCTGTTTATTCACAGCTAATCTGGCGTTTAATGTACTTGATACCAGTTTATTTCTTGCTATCTGGTGTTTAATGTGCTTGTTATCAGTTTGTTTCTAGCTATTCTGGCGTTTAATGTACTTTCTACCAATTTATTTTCAGCTAATCTGGCGTTTTATGTACTTGATGCCAGTTTATTTCCAGCTTACCTAGAGTTCAATGTACTTGTTATCAGTTTGGTTCCAGCTAATATGGTGTTTAATGTACTTGTTATTAGTTTGTTTCCAGCTAATCTAGTGTTTAATGTTCTTGTTATCAGTTTGTTTCCAGTTAATATGGTGTTTAATGTACTTTCTACCAGTTTGTTCTAAGCTAATGGATTTAACTTTGTTCTAAAGTGACAGTAGTCCCACATCTTTCCAGATGATGGGCGAAAAAGACTGTAGTGTTTTGGATTTTAAACACAACGAGTTCAGTCGCTAGTGATACTCATCAATGAATGATCAATTGTTTTGGTTGATTAGCACATGGATTTTCAGTAATACGTTTGGAATACACACAAACTTCGTTTCGTAACATGAAGAAATTAAGTAGGTTCAAAAATGGATTAAACACGGAACAAAAATCCCGAGTACGAAGATTTACCTTTTCGAAAGCGTTTCGGTCATCGGATGTCTTGTTTGTGATAAAGTTGTCATTGTCTACTTGAAAACACGGAATAAATGTGAAGATTTCTCTTGTTTGTGATAAAGTTTTCATTGTCTACTTGGAAACACGGAATAAATGTGAAGATTTCTTTTGTTTGTGATAAAGTTTTCATTGTCTACTTGAAAACACGGAATAAATGTGAAGATTTCTCTTGTTTGTGATAAAGTTGTCATTGTCTACTTGGAAACACGGGATAAATGTGAAGATTTCTCTTGTTTGTGATAAAGTTGTCATTGTCTACTTGGAAACACGGGATAAATGTGAAGATTTCTCTTGTTTGTGATAAAGTTGTCATTGTCTACTTG